AGCTACAGATGAAGGCAACTCGGCTGTTGCAATCATTTTTCTGGATGTTTCATCAGTTTTCACCATTGTCCAAGAATAAATCAGTTAAGTGATTCATCCCTAAACAGTCTTGTTCCTCTATCGGTTAGCCAAGTGGTTATTCTTCTTGTCACTTATTAAAGTCGGTATATAATGATCGTCTCTCATTTGTCTTCAAAAATACCTTTTTAGAGCACAGGGACCTCTTTCTATACTGATAACACCTAAGTTGTGCCAGTCACCACTACTCCGGACATTTTACTTCCCAGACAATGTGCCGTCAGTCATTTTGGCCCTCAGTGCCAACAGATCCTATAGAATGGCTAAACCCCTTTCAAGGAAGGTTCTAGGAGAGTATATCGTGAAGTCAATGTTCCACAAAATAACTACAAGTGGAGAGGAACCTGATCAAAATAGTGAATGTAGGTTAACTGATTATTTGCTACTGTTCGGAATGATAGTTTTTCAATGACTGATCGAAGAAGTGATGAAACTACGATAAACAGGCGATATGTCATTTATGGTGCTAAACGTTTTTGCTGACTGTTCAAAGACATGGTACAAATAATTGGATTTCATTGTTCCGCAGGTTGTGTGGTTGGTTCCGCCGATGGGATACCATGGTTTACTGAGGCCAGCCTGATGCCTGAGTGACAAATATTCTGACCATGTACACTGCCACCCCGGTGACCGCGTATTAAATCGGGGTCGCAAACCTTCATCAGTGATATGTTTCGGAATTTGGACCCAAAGCCTCGTTTCCAGTAATCGGTTTGGGATCACAGTAAACGCTAGACACATCAAACAGACTTAGAAAGTTGAGCTTTGAAGGCGTACAAGACGAGGTAGAATCTATGATTCTAAATTCGGAAAACTACGAGCCCGGACCAGTGGACTGAAAGACCCGGAGCATCCCTCAACGAGAGTAAGCATCCACCTAGCTCGAATTGACAAAAACTACAGCTTGGCTGGTTTGCTGGGTCATCGACACAGTGCCGATCAGCGTTTGAGTATAAAACTAGAGGATGGTAGCGTACCAATGACCGTCCTTGAGCTGGAACTAAGGCAGAGAAACAAACATTCAGCTGCACGTACGTCTAAACATCCACGTCCTGTGTACACCAATTACTCTAGTTCTGCAGCTAGCTTCCTGCATTTCATGGGCCACAAAATGGGCGGCTTCATTGTGAGTTAAGATATATTATTTATGAACGACCATTTCAAGACCTTGCTATAAACTAAGTCACACATAGAAGCTCAATCCGAATTCAATAGTCCTTCACCAGTCAGTGCACCCGTGACGTCCGGATTCGCCTATATTTATGGCTGAAACTACACCGGCCGGAAGGTCTGTAGACCAAAATATTCGGGGGTGAATTGTACCAATATCTTTGAACGGTTTGCAATTGTCAACGGATTTACCCTTTGCTTCTCGAGTTATGGCCCTCAATAATTAAGAAATTTCATCTTCCTCTATTAGAACTTTAACCGACGGAATGATATTTCCCAGATGACTTAAAGCCTGGTAAATTCCTTATCAGTGATAGGATGACTTGTGAGTGCACGTGGCCATAAATGGCGGCCTGCCACTGGTTTTCCGAGGAATACACTCATTTGCAAATCAATTTGGTCTTCATGAGAGACTCAACTGAATCTCTCATTTATGATATTCTACAACTGAATGTGCTGCACACAGGCCGCCCCCTGTTTCAGTTAGAACGATATTTGAGATATCGCAGTATATTTTCATAAAGGATACTACTCACAAGGTTGCTGCAACCTTGTGAGTAATTTCCTCTAAAACTAAATGAGTTTCCTAAAATGCATCTTTGAAAACGCATCGGGACACAGTGGCTGAAGAACTATCGCCCTTTCGATGTAGCAGACGAAACCGAACTACTTTTAGCCTTTCGCTAAATTAAATGTGTTACGCAGGCAAATGTCGTATCCCGTGGAATGGAGAAAGTGGGAGGAAAACGGAACAATAGTTTTATTTGCATCAAATATCCGTTGTCGTCTCTGCACAGATGAAGTTTAGAGAGAACTGATCTAATGTTTATAGAATAGTCAAGTATAATGGGGAACCTATGACGTCACAATCAGGCGGTTGGGGCCTTTGCTCCTTCAAGTGATCGAATTACCACAACCCCATGATACTAATCGCTCCATAGAAATTAGTTGATTTATTAGTATTCCACAGAGTTACTGGCATTATCAAATAACAAATTTGTAGTAACAGAGTGGAAATAGCGACAGTGAGAAGTACAAGCAAAGATGGAACAGATTTTCAGTAAGCGGCAAGGCTGTCGAATATCAGTCTCGATCGACTGCCATTCAGTCCCATAAACTCCAGCTTTGGTTTAATAAACCTGACAGCTGGCTTTCGTCGAAGAACTGACGGTGCGTCTTTTAGGTAGGTTGTCCTTCTCATACGAAGACCACTAACGGCTATGCTTAGCGCCACTCTTACTTGAGGAAAGCGGATCTCATTAGGGAGAATGACTTTGGCGACCGTATGGGGAATCGCACGACAAAGCCCTGAATCTAGCACAGCATCATTGTAACCCATTTGTATAAGAAGTGCAACATATCAAACATCTTTTCACGAAAATCACCTCTGGAACAACTATGTTAGGGAGCTACGGCTTCAAAAAGACCATCCGCTTCAATAAAGGTTTGTTTGCAGTGCTCCGAGGAAGCGATCCCAACCATACCTTCACATCTGTTTTCCTTGGAGATTTTGTCCTGTGATTAGAGCCAATCTATGCTAAAAAGCTCAGAAGTACTGTAGACCTTTTTTTCTCTCACAGGAAATCAGCTGGTAGTGTGCACCTCAAGAAACACGAAGAAGGTTCGAAACCTTGATCTCCCGATTAGTAACTTGAGGACTTGACCATTTGACCATGAGGGGACAGTTAGCAGTGTGATTAACTGGGACTTAGGTAGGATAAAGCACCACTGATCCTTCGCTCACGCGTTTACGTGTTAATTGCTTTCTCCAGCGACGATTTCTCAGATACGAGTTTCGTTCACTGTGTGAATATATCCTTCTCCTGAGCTGCTTATGAGTTGTGAGTGGTGTGAGTGTCTGTGCGACTTTCGATGTTGATTTGTTTTCCTAGATGCTCATTCTACTAAGATGGTTGCGATCGGATTTAACAGTAGTTTCTACCAGTTGGCACTGCGATCCTAAACTTTTCACATAAAGCCTTGTTTCAGCACTGTACCTCATTTGCTCCATTCGATGGTTCCAGAGTATTAAGTCGCGACGCTGCATTTCAAATCCCCAGCCCCAGTGGCCTGACAGGACCACACTATTGATCAATTGGGAGAAAAGTGCTTCAGAGCAGGGGATACTACTGAGAATATTCCCTTTCGAGTTCAGTTCAGTAGCAATATTTCAGGCATGAGGCAACCGTGAACGAAACGAAAGGGTAGTATCAACTATTACTGAGTGTCTCTATAAATTACGGGTGTCAGACGAGGGATACTAAGTGCGGATTTTACCGTTGCCACTTACCTCTACAGCCCACATCTGTGAAAGTAAAAGAAGCATGTCCGGAGGCCATTATCACCCTGACAAAACCACAAGTAGGAGTCTGTGCAAGCTTTTGGCTCAATAGAAGACACCGAAAATGAGCTATGCGAATTTGACAAAGATGTCAAACTGGCTTGATTGAGATTGGTGTGTATCAGTGACCCATGATGTGGACGCATTTACAGCCAACTAGGTAATACTGTGCTTCCCTTTCTTTCGTGGTTATCGTGCGCTTGAATTAATTCTAGTTTACTGAGCTCGAAAAATAATAGTTTTAAAAGGAGTATCCAAATCACTGTTTTCCTGAGCACAACACTAGCCGGCACTTGGTTGTCCAGTTACATATTTGCTTTCCCACGCGAATGCTTTAAAGCCTTCATAAGACTGGCAAGGAAAGTATTGACTTGTGACGGAATGCTGTCTGCTTCATTTCTGGGATGTCTGGTAGAATTGAGGACCCGCATTCACTATGATCGAGCTATCCTGGCAGCCGGGCAGGCAACACCTTGTTCTTTCGTTGACACCCACGAAGCAGTGTTGTGCCTCCGAATACAAAGTATTTGACCGATACCAGTAAACTAGTGAGCAGTTAGAATGACTCATTTTTATTAGAATTCGGAGATCAGAAGAATACTGTGGGTGATCCTATATAAACAACCTTTTACAATTTTGAAGGCCGTTGGTCAGCACAGTGTGGTTCATTTGCATCCAACTCCAGCCCTCAACTAAACACAGAAGAACCAACAAAGTCTGCTTGGTTTTCACCATTCAATAGCAGGTAGATGCAACGATTTTGACGGTCAATCCTTAAAAACATTATATTGGCCATTTTTTGAGTATGATAAGATGCAATCCCTTATTTTCCAACCCGAAGACTGCCCTTACACAACATCGAAACAATTTCCTATCCATATTCCACTGTGCATCCGAAACAGTAGTTTGCACTTGAACACGAATTCCGCTAATGCGTTCTGCCCATACAGAAGGAAAGAGAAGCTTTCCACACGACGGTTCTCGAAACAGCTGTCCTGTTTGTGTGGATCGTGATGTTCTACAGTTTTTTGTCTAACGAATTGTTTTGAAGTTGTTCTGCTGTAAGATTTTGTGAGTGATGCAGAAAGAATCGTGCGTAGTCCCGACATATCTCAGGAATGCATCATAACTTCGCCACATTCTTCACCATTCCTATTTAACTGTATGGAACTTGATTTACCAACTTTCGACATTTCTTCCACTGAAATTTGCTACCAAGGCTCTTTTGTCACAGTGAGGTCATCCTCTTGACTGTTCTAGTGCTACGGACAAATGCGATAGCGAAACCTTCCCAGTTTCGCATCAGAAAAAGATGCAGTATTTGTGAGTTTTCGAAGCTGCGCACTGTGTGATGTTCACATCATATACCAAGCTTCACATCCGTTACATTGATCTGCTTCTTCTTTTGTAGCAAGATATACACGGGATTTTATTTACATTACCTCTCATTCATCATTTTCCAATCCGTCCAGACTCCAAATGCACAAGAGTTACAGCATCCAACATGTCACACTAGAATTGATTATTCTCAATGAACATGGCTACAGTGAAATCAGAGTAAGGCAAGGTTAACGCATCGTATAGAATCCCGGTTGAAATTTGCTAGCGGTCGTTATTCGACAACAAGTTTCTAGCTGGTAAAAGTTGCGTTGTTGGTCCAATATAACTGATCTTGGGTGTGCTTTCACACTCATACATAATACTTTTTACACGGAGTAGCATATTTACCCAGTTTGCTGCCAGGCGAGAAGTTTATCAAGTCTTATTCCGTTCTCACATGGTTGGTCTGATACGGTTTAGTTGGAACACCATTCAGATTATCCAAGTACAAGACGTCCACATTGGTGGAACGGTGGCAGAAGGCGCATTTGGATTCAAGCGACCAAACGGGGAACCATGTGCGATAGGTTTTACTTCAGGTTCCCTCACAAGGGAATAGCAAAGGGAAGGCGCCAGTGTGGTCTGGGGTAAACCTTACCAGACACACAATGAACAAATCACTCCGTAAACTTTCTTGTGAACGATGGATAAGAGACTCCGAAATACTAGATGTCCCCTCGGGTAATGGGGTGTCCCAAACACATGTGGTCTTGCGAAAAGTATTCTACTAGCCAGATGACCACCAACACTCATGTTTCTGGGTACTTCGTAACCCCGTCACTTATCAGCGGGTTAGGTCATTGTTAGATCAGATTCGACATAATTTTATATNGATCCTTCGCTCACGCGTTTACGTGTTAATTGCTTTCTCGAGCGACGATGTCTCAGATACGAGTTTCGTTCACTGTTTGAATATATCCTTCTCCTGAGCTGCTTATAAGTTGTGAGTGGTGTGAGTGTCTGTGCAACTTTCGGTGTTGATTTGTTTTTCTAGATGCCCATCCTGCTAAGATGGTTGCAATCGGATTTAACAGTAGTTTCTACCAGTTGGCATTGCGATCACAAACTTTTCACATAAAGCCTTTTTTCGGCACTATACCTCATTTGCTCCATTCGATGGTTCCAGAGTGTTAAGTCGCGACGCTGCATTTCAAATCCCCAGTCCCAGTGGCCTGACAGGACCACACTATTGATCACTTGGGAGAAAACTGCTTCAGAGCAGGGGATACTACTGAGAATATCCCTTTCGAGTTCAGTTCAGTAGCATTATTTCAAGCATGAGGCAACCGCGAACGAAACGAAAGGGTAGTATCGACTACTACTGAGTGTCCCAGTATAAATTACGGGTGTCAGACGAGGGACATTAAGTGCGGATTTTACCGTTGCCACTTACCTCTACAGCCCACATCTGTGAAAGTAAAAGAAATACGTCCGGAGGCCATTATCACCCTGACAGAACCACAAGTAGGAGTCTGTGCAAGCTTTTGGCTCAGTAGAAGACAGCGAAAAATGACAAAGATGTCAAACTGGCTTGACTGAGATTGGTGGGTATCAGTGACCCATGACGTGGACGCATTTACAGCCAACTAGGCAATACTGTACTTCCCTTTCTTTCGTGGTTGTCGTACGCTTGAATTAACTCTAGTTTACTGAGCTCGAAAAAGAATAGTTTTAAAAGGAGTATTCGCNGATCCTTCGCTCACGCGTTTACGTGTTAATTGCTTTCTCCAGCGACGATTTCTCAGATACGAGTTTCGTTCACTGTGTGAATATATCCTTCTCCTGAGCTGCTTATGAGTTGTGAGTGGTGTGAGTGTCTGTGCGACTTTCGATGTTGATTTGTTTTCCTAGATGCTCATTCTACTAAGATGGTTGCGATCGGATTTAACAGTAGTTTCTACCAGTTGGCATTGCGATCCTAAACTTTTCACATAAAGCCTTGTTTCAGCACTGTACCTCATTTGCTCCATTCGATGGTTCCAGAGTATTAAGTCGCGACGCTGCATTTCAAATCCCCAGCCCCAGTGGCCTGACAGGACCACACTATTGATCAATTGGGAGAAAAGTGCTTCAGAGCAGGGGATACTACTGAGAATATTCCCTTTCGAGTTCAGTTCAGTAGCAATATTTCAGGCATGAGGCAACCGTGAACGAAACGAAAGGGTAGTATCAACTATTACTGAGTGTCTCTATAAATTACGGGTGTCAGACGAGGGATACTAAGTGCGGATTTTACCGTTGCCACTTACCTCTACAGCCCACATCTGTGAAAGTAAAAGAAGCATGTCCGGAGGCCATTATCACCCTGACAAAACCACAAGTAGGAGTCTGTGCAAGCTTTTGGCTCAATAGAAGACACCGAAAATGAGCTATGCGAATTTGACAAAGATGTCAAACTGGCTTGATTGAGATTGGTGTGTATCAGTGACCCATGATGTGGACGCATTTACAGCCAACTAGGTAATACTGTGCTTCCCTTTCTTTCGTGGTTATCGTGCGCTTGAATTAATTCTAGTTTACTGAGCTCGAAAAATAATAGTTTTAAAAGGAGTATCCAAATCACTGTTTTCCTGAGCACAACACTAGCCGGCACTTGGTTGTCCAGTTACATATTTGCTTTCCCACGCGAATGCTTTAAAGCCTTCATAAGACTGGCAAGGAAAGTATTGACTTGTGACGGAATGCTGTCTGCTTCATTTCTGGGATGTCTGGTAGATTTGAGGACACGCATTCACTATGATCGAGCTATCCTGGCAGCCGGGCAGGCAACACCTTGTTCTTTCGTTGACACCCACGAAGCAGTGTTGTGCCTCCGAATACAAAGTATTTGACCGATACCAGTAAACTAGTGAGCAGTTAGAATGACTCATTTTTATTAGAATTCGGAGATCAGAAGAATACTGTGGGTGATCCTATATAAACAACCTTTTACAATTTTGAAGGCCGTTGGTCAGCACAGTGTGGTTCATTTGCATCCAACTCCAGCCCTCAACTAAACACAGAAGAACCAACAAAGTCTGCTTGGTTTTCACCATTCAATAGCAGGTAGATGCAACGATTTTGACGGTCAATCCTTAAAAACATTATATTGGCCATTTTTTGAGTATGATAAGATGCAATCCCTTATTTTCCAACCCGAAGACTGCCCTTACACAACACCAAAACACAATTTCCTACCCATATTCCACTGCATCCGAAACAGTAGTTTGCACTTGAACACGAATTCCGCTAATGCTTTCTGCCCATACAGAAGGAAAGAGAAGCTTTCCACACGACGGTTCTCGAAACAGCTGTCCTATTTGTGTGGATTGTGATGTTCTACAGTTTTTTGTCTAACGAATTGTTTTGAAGTTGTTCTGCTGTAAGATTTTGTGAGTGATGCTGAAAGAATCGTGCGTAGTCCCGACATATCTCAGGAATGCATCATAACTTCGCCACATTCTTCACCATTCCTATTTAACTGTATGGAACTTGATTTACAAACTTTCGACATTTCTTCCACTGAAATTTGCTGCCAAGGCTCTTTTGTCACAGTGAGGTCATCCTCTTGACTGTCCTAGTGCTACGGACAAATGCGATAGCGAAACCTTCCCAGTTTCGCATCAGAAAAAGATGCAGTATTTGTGAGTTTTCGAAGCTGCGCACTGTGTGATGTTCACATCATATACCAAGCTTCACATCCGTTACATTGATCTGCTTCTTCTTTTGTAGCAAGATATACACGGGATTTTATTTACATTACCTCTCATTCATCATTTTCCAATCCGTCCAGACTCCAAATGCACAAGAGTTACAGCATCTAACATGTCACACTAGAATTGATTATTCTCAATGAACATGGCTACAGTGAAATCAGAGTAAGGCAAGGTTAACGCATCGTATAGAATCCTGGTAGAAATTTGCTAGCGGTCGTTATTCGACAACAAGTTTCTAGCTGGTAAAAGTTGCGTTGTTGGCCCAATATAACTGATCTTGGTTGTGCTTTCACACTCATACATAATACTTTTTACACGGAGTAGCATATTTACCCAAGTCGCTGCCAGGCGAGAAGTTTATCAAGTCTTATTCCGTTCTCACATGGTTGGTCTGATACGGTTCAGTTGGAACACCATTCAGATTATCCAAGTACAAGACGTCCACATTGGTGGAACGGTGGCAGAAGGCGCATTTGGATTCAAGCGACCAAACGGGGAACCATGTGCGATAGGTTTTACTTCAGGTTCCCTCACAAGGGAATAGCAAAGGGAAGGCGCCAGTGTGGTCTGGGGTAAACCTTACCAGACACACAATGAACAAATCACTCCGTAAACTTTCTTGTGAACGATGGATAAGAGACTCCGAAATACTAGATGTCCCCTCGGGTAATGGGGTGTCCCAAACACATGTGGTCTTGCGAAAAGTATTCTACTAGCCAGATGACCACCAACACTCATGTTTCTGGGTACTTCGTAACCCCGTCACTTATCAGCGGGTTAGGTCATTGTTAGATCAGATTCGACATAATTTTATATTTGGTCAACTGTCTGTTGGCAAGGTATAACACATGATTCTGCTGCACATTTATGGTTCATGACCTTCCCCCTTGGCAGACACAGAGTAGAACTATTAGATAGATTTTCTTATCCAGAGGAAGTCATTAAACTATGTGATTACTGAGAGATGAAAGTTGCTCTCTACTGAATACCTATGATGGGCTCAAATGCACGATGCAAATAATTGTAACACCCCTAATGTTACAAGCAAAAAGAGAACCCATCCATTTAAAAGCACAAAGTTTCGTCCTGGCTGAAAAGCCTAAAGTTTAGTTTATCTCATCACTCCACCTCTTAAAATGTTTTTATGCCAACCGTTTTAAGGAAAGCATCATTTCAAATGAGGGAGATGACAGCCACTCCTGTTAAATATTTCACAAACCCAGCTTTGTGGTCACTGAGGTTAGCGATGGGTTCAGTGAATCGTTTGTGCTTTTAGTCCATGAGCCCTTTATTGTCAGAGAAACGTGGATGTGGGTGGCGTAAACTCTAGGGCAGTCTTTTCTGAAGGACATAAATACATGTTCACACAGTTTGTACAAGACATAAGAAAACAGTTCAAGGGGTCTTTTGATGAAGTAGTGTGTATCAACAGTAATAGGCAGAATATGTTTCGTTTCACGGTAGGTTGTTTTTCCTGACTGAATGTAAAATTCTACGTGGATGGTTAGTTAAGAGTTAACATTTCTAGGAAATTGTGAAACCACCCTAATCTGTTTCGTTGAGAGTAGAGGTGTACCGATCTCCTGAATAGGTGTTCTTGATACTAACTGAGTAGAGGAGTGTTCTACTAGGGCAGAAAGATTTCAAAAAGTAAGACCTCGGGGGAAAAGTGTGCTCGACAACTTCACGTAAGTACCTCGCCTTCATATATTTTGTTCTCATGTCCATGTAGAGTGTGAGACGGAATTTTTCGTAGTAGTTAAGACCAATGAATCTAAGAGAGTATACTTAGTGACATGTGAGAAACGAGGTTGACGTAAACTTGGGAATACGCCTATCTGGCGAGCCTCAAGAGGAGGCAAACCAGTAGTGGGCTGTCAAAAAGTCATCAATGGCCTTATGAGTAGTATCGGGTCGAGTTTGTGAACTTATTTTAGCGTTGGTCTAAGTCTTTCTGCCTGCTGCTGTTTGCTCGGACATTGGGCAATAATGAAGTTGGAACACTGTGAGTTCGGACTGTGTGAGACCAGGATGAAGTTGGAACACTGTGAGTTCGGACTGCGTGACACCAGGTGCTACATGCGGGTGCATGTGAACCGCAAACGAGAAAGCATTCTCTGTGGTACCTAAAATATTTTCCAACGGGTGTTGTTCCTCCAGTGCGGGCCAAGCATCTATGGCGACCTCTTCTTCAGGTTTGCTACAAGAATTCGTTCATATATGTGATAGGCGCTAGTTGGACCTCGTTATGAGTTTGCATTAGAAACGTCAGATCCGGACATCTGGGCTTTTACAACCGAGTCATATCCATGCCAATTTGAAGAACTCTAATACAAGCACGGAATGAAATATCGGTTTAAGGAATCTTACAGAGGAAAACAAAATAAGTAAAATTTATTAGGAGTCAAATAGTTACCTACTACGTGATTTTAATTCACAGTCCCTACTGCAAATTGCTACTGTGCACAAAACCACCAAAGTGGCCAGGTTGTGTTTTTGTTGGTTTCTTTGCCGACGTTGATAACTGGGTCGCCAGCGTTCCTAACGATACAACAACCAAGCAGTGCATCCCAGCCATCCATCCAGCGCACAATAGCCAAGCCGCATTTTGTTCAAGAAAAGCTACCGATGGCGTAGCTCCAGTGCCTGTGCTATCAATCTTTATTGTGAGAACGTCGACCGCTAAATGGCATGGTGCAGTGGTCTGATGATATTCCATACTGGGCGAGGTTGAAGGGGTCAAGAAATCACTTCAGAAAATACAAACAGTTCCTGACAGCTTGGGTTGCAACAGAAAAATTCCACTCTTAAAAATTCGTCAATCCTAAGAAAATCAGTAAGAAAATCTTTGAGAGCACTTATATGAAAAATGGCAAGCAATTTGAGCGAAGTTAAACAAATTCCCCTTATTTTCTGTTTTTGAATTCCTCCGGCGAACCATTAAGAGCCAAATACACAATTCACACAACCCTCCTTAGTCTGATCGTCAGCTTAATTATTGGAGAGACTGCAGCGGTCACTCACTAGATCACGCATCACAAACACTCAAATGACGTAACTATTCCTGTCCCACGTGCAGCCACTTCCTATCCATTTTTGTTTACGTGGCAACCACCTGCGTCACGCGCCAGGCCTACGAAATTCAACCACATCAGGACAAGTTGTATTCGTGTTCGTGCAAGTATCAAACTCGAAGGGACACCCCCCCTCTTCACAGTGCACACAATAAATAGGTCAACAACTAGGGCAACTTTCTCTCACACACACACGGATGCACGCACGCACAAGACAGGAAGTCAAGCGAGTTCCACAAGTCTCCATGGCCAACTACGGAACACGTGTAAAGCTGCGCTGCGCTACGGAACACGTGTAAAGCTGTGCTGCGGACACGTCCGCGTCCGGAACTTCCCTCAGTTGTCCTCAAAAGATGGGTCACTTTTGGCTTGTTCCCTTCTCGCATTGTACTTATTTTTATCAAGTGCACATAACTTTTGTATTCACCATCATTCTGTTAAAACAGACATTTGTAAGAACTTTTCGGCACGACCTACTAGATTAGTCTCATCCCATACATACTGGGGTAAAATAGCGTCCTTCGAAGCACCCGTTAAAGAGTGATGGCATA